TTCTTTTTGGTGGTCAAATGCTCTGGTATCCCTCCGATGGCCTTGATTTGATCGGGATTGACCGTGATACCTCTCTACGACACTAGGAAACCCAAGAATTTCCCTGAGGCCACACCGAATGCACAATTTTCGGGGTTCAATTTCATGTTGTATTGCCTGAGTATGCCGAAGGCTTCTCTCAAGTGGTCGATGTGATCTTCTTTCCTTTTGGATTTGACCAGCATGTCGTCGATCTAGACTTTCATCATTTTTTTAGGTTGTTCTTTGAACATCTTCGTCACCAAACTTTAGTAAGTTGCCCCCGCATTTTTAAGTCCGAAAGGCATGACCCTATAGCAGTACGTCCCCTGGTGGGTGATGAAGGTGGTCTTTTCCTGGTCCTCTTCCTCCAGTAGGATCTGATTATAGCCCGAGTAGGCATCCAAGAAACTTAGCAACCCATGCCCGGCTGTTACGTCGATGAGTTGGTCGATATGAGGTAATGGAAATGAATCCTTGGGGCAAGCTTTGTTCAGGTCAGTGAAATCTACGCAAATCCGCCACTTGTCGTTCTTCTTTTTCACCATGACTACGTTGGCGACCCATTGGGGTACTTAGACTCTCTCACGGAGCCATTTTCTAACAATTTTTCCACTTCTTCGTGCACTGCGTCATTGATTGCGGAGTTGAACTTACGCCGAACCTACCTCACCGGGGGTATAGCGGATGGACGTTCAATTTGTGTGTTGCGATCTCTTTTGGGATACCTGGCATATATGCATGGCTAAAAGCAAACAAGTTCGCATTAGCAGTTAAAATATCACAAGACTTACCCGGTTCCTGAAGTTTGCAGCTGATGTAAGCTTTCTTGCTATGGTCGTTGCTGTCTAGTTGAACGGGGTCGAGGTCCTCTATAGTCGATCTTGTGGCCTCGACCATATCGGGTCTCTGATGACATCCTCATTGTCATCGCTTACCGGCCTCGACCTTGTTAATTGCTATGCCTCTTTTTCTTTATCCTTTGTTTGTTGGGTGGCCGTGCAGTCTAGGGCAATGCGGTAGCATTCTTGGGATGTGCGTTGCTCCCCTCGTATACTGAATATCCCCCACGGAGTTGGGAATTTGATGGTTTGGTACAAGCTAGAGGGGATAGCTCTCATAGTGTGTATCCATGGTCGCCTTATGATGGCGTTGTATGTCGTGTCCTAGTCTATGATATGGAACGTGGTCTCCAGAGTGATGTCATCCGCTAGGACAGGGAGTGTGATCTCGCCAGACATTCGCTCAATTGCATTGTTAAAGCATGTTAGTGTGATGCAATGTGGCACTATCTTGTCCTCGAATTTTATTTATGTGAGTACTCGAGGATGGATAATACACGCGCCGCTCCCATCGTCTACCATAATCCGTCTTACATCGGTATCTAAAATTTGTAAAGTAATAACAAGGACATCATAGTGAGGGAAAGCCAAACCGTTGGTATCCGACTTATCAAAAATTATACTTTCTTCGAGTACATCATATCGTTCATGGGTGATCGACCGTTTGAGCTTGTGGGTTGTGGTGAAATTCACACTGTTTATAGAAGTATCGTCCCTGCCACCGATGATTATGTGGATGGTGCGGGCTGGCGAGGGTGGTTTTGGCGGCTATTGATGTTGTTCACCTCGCCTGGCAAAACTGGTCCTTCCTCGATCGCTCAGCAATTCTTTGAGGTGTCCCTATCGCAGCATGTTTATGACCTCTTGTCTTAGGGCAATGCAATCTTCGGTTTTGTGTCCTCTCTCTTGATGAAACTCGCAGAGGGCGTCTGATTTTCTGGTATTCGGGTCCTTGGCGAGATCATTGCCTTTCACGGCGATGACGTAATGGGTCACATGATCCTCGGGGTCAGTTGTGCCATCGTATCTCTCTTCGGCAATAGCTTAGGAGCGCCCGGTATCTTATCGACCCTTTCTTGGTATTCTCTTATTTGGTCCCGAAGTGCCTTGTTCTCATTTTCCATTTCCTCCATCCTTTTCAGAATGGTTGTGAGAGCGTCGTCGCCTGCATCGTTAACGACATTGTGAGTAACACCTGTCGGCGTGGGATGAGGAGGAGGAGGTTGATCATGTTGCTCGTCCACTAGTGGTGTAGCACGGGTTCTTGCATTTACTGCGGCCGTATCCTGAACGGGCTTGTGGAGGACGCTGGTCAGTGTATCAGTTAGCCAGGCCTCAAAGAGCTTCTTTATCGCTGGTGGTGCCTCCTCTCCCACGGATGTGGAGGCTATCTTACCAAGAGATTTTGTGATGCTGCAGTGGGGAGGGGGTAATCCACCTCGCCTAGAAGAGGCATTGGGTGTTGTGTCCTCGTCCACTACTCCAGAGTTTTCGTAGATGATGTTCATGAGGTTGGTTGGAAGGTCACTAATTATTCTTGTTCTTTTTTCTCTGTCACCTGCCATATTAGATCTATGCATGCACAGAGAAAAATGTTCTTATTTTTTTTTACATCAGTAACCAGTGTCAATCGTAGATCTAGAAGAAACTAAAAGACTTAGGTAGAAAATTCCCACAGACGGCGCTAAATTATTTGACCAAAAAGTGTAACTTTCGGCTAAATTATTAAATTTATGTAATAATGGATTAAATCTAGTTAAGGATACTAACTCTAAATGCAAATCTTGAAAACGTGTGGGAAATGGGGACAAATTCCATAAATGATTGATGACAATAACTGCAAAATATCCTTAAAGTATGAGCAATAATGGAGGTGTAACTAGCAATCAATAGCAATAAATGACGTTTAAGTAAATAGGGAGAATGATTCACCCAATAATAAATGGATTGGACGAATGTTGTTCCTAATAATGATGAGTGACAGAAAGATCCAAGATTTGTTTAAACAATCCTCGGATATGGGGAAAAAGTGTGGAATGACATGAACAAGAATCTTTATCAAAAGGTAATCTTTGTATTTTCGCAAGAGAGAAAGAATCTTCTTCTCAAAAAGTGTTCTTATCAAAATGAGTACTACCTGCCCCTATCATTGTCTCTTCTTTCTATATATATGGGACATTTTCTTAAGAAACTCTTATAATACAAGTACAGAGAATATCCACTAGAATATTCCCTTTTAATATCCTATCCTGATAAAGATTCAACCTCGACCTCGACCCTTGTTGAATCGTGATTACGGCTCTTGTCGGCATCTCGACTACGGCTCATATCGATACTTCGGCCAATGACTTTGCTGCTTCTTGGGTGACCTCGTCCGTCTCTTTCCTTAATGCCGTATTACGCTAAATATCCTTAGAGCGAATTTTGGCCTATACAGTAATAAGCTAAATAATCTATATTTGCAAATTCAAAAGATTTATTACTTTATTGCTCGTAAAAATGAACAACAAGACGATCATGTATTAACACAGTTGGAAGAATATCTAAACAATAATATTGCAAATGCAAAGAGTGAAGAAGATGAGTTACTACCCTAACAACGTCGATGAGTCACTCGATTTTACAGATTCAGAAGATGATGAAGAAGGGGACCTATCCTGATACACCACAGAGCAGTCTACAAATATGCATCCTGTACAGACCATGCGGCCAATGGCGTACACATACCGTGTGCAATAATATCATTCTAAGGAGATCATCTTCACGGCCAATGGTGCTACAATTAAAAGCATTTTGTTAAGGTTAAAAGAAAAAAATTATAGTTAAACCATTTTTAAACATAAGAATATATTATTCTTTTTTAGAATACACTAAAACGAAAATAGTGTCATATAAAATAGAAGAAAAGAAGACATTTAATATATTTTGAGGAAAAAAAAAAAAAAAGCTATTCCTTGAAACTCAGTACAGATTGAAGTTGGGAAGTGCAGAAATGTGAGAGGCAAAAAACTAAAGTAAATTAAAGATAGCGGATTAGGTGGCATCAGGTTTGTGATTTTATCTTCAAATTTCTCCTTAAAAAAGTGTAAAGTATTCCTGAGAATTGACAAAACGTGAACATTTTCATCAAAAGTAAAGTTGTTAAATCTCTCTCTATATATATCCTCTAGAAAGTCAAAAGCAGGAATTTTATAAAGGTGCTATTAACTGTAATACCTACCCTGCACTTTGAAATTAAATTATCTTTTCTTACTGCATTTAAGATTGATTATACTAGGTCAAAAGTTGAAAGCAGGAAAATGGAAGAAGAAGAAGAAGAAGAAGAAAAGTAGAAAAGCAGATTCATGACCAAAGCAAAACAGAAAGGATTTCACTTTCTTTCCAATTTTGACGATAATGAAAAGGTTAAGTACATGATTGAACCAAAAATTGTATATACATCTCTATGTATATCCGGACACAATAATGTTCTACTTAAATAGGAACTAAGGACTAATGCCATGTATGATCGCTTGATTTTTATTTTATTGTACTAAAGATATTCAATTATTTTTAAAATTAAAAAGTCACTAAGCTTTGTCACAGTTGAACTTTTCTATAACAGCATCCCTATATAACAACACTTCTTTATAAAAGCCAAGCTTTTTCGTAACCAATTTTTATGTTATGTTATAATATATGTTCTCTATAACAGCACTTCGCTATAACATCCAAAAATATTTGTAACAAAAGAGAATGTTACAGAAAGGTTTGACTGTATAACAAAAAGTCACTAAACAATTATTAGCAAAAAAGAAACTCAGCCATGCCTAAGTATCATAGAAAATATATCCTTTTTATGAGACTTAAGTAAAGTTAAGTATTTTTTTTTTATTCCCTCCCTTCAAAAGCTCTCCACCTTGCTCTTGGAGTGACTCGAACTCACAACCTATTAGTTGGAAGTGGAGGGTGCTCACCACTAGAGCAACCCACTTTGTCAAGTAAAGTTAAGTGATCATTTCGATACAAAAATAGTTTAACAAGTTTCATAATATTTTACAAAAAAATAACTTAATGTTAAGTGCAATAAAATAAAAGTTGAATAATCATTCAGAAAAATAACCAAGAAATTTATCATAGCTAAATTTACTCTGCTTGGACTAAGGGAACACCCAAAACTCAAAACCATATATTATCAGCCAAAGCCAAACTACAGTTAGTCTTTCTATAACAATTTCATTAATTCTAAAGACTTAAATACAGAACATTTCTACACAAGAGAAAGGGAAGCAACTATGTGAAAAAACTGAAGATTTTGAAGAAGCTCTTTCGCATGGCTCGAGGCTCGAATCTCCACTCGGGAGAACAGCTCGTCACTGAGCTGTTCGCCAATATGGGCGTCGACGAGCACACCGCTAACGCTTCTGCAGCTGTTGGCGAGTGCTCGTCCGATTTCCGCAGCATCATCGGGATGGTTGACGACCAAAGGGCTTCCTCCCCTGAAAACTTGAAGATTGTTAATGACGAATGAGCCGTTGGCTTCCACCACTTCTTTGAAATCTTGAATGCTGGGTGCATACACTGGAATGTTGAACTTGTCCCTCTTATCACTAGTAATTAGGCCCTGTCATTGGTCATATTCATACAACAAACAATGATGAATATTATAGGTGATAAATGTGGAGAGCTGAATTAATTTTGGGCAGGTCAAAAGCGAGTTATTAACTTTAACCGATTCAAAGTTTGCTTGAATCAAAACATAGATTGATCAAGATCGGTCAAATAATTATGGATCGGATCGTTGTCCACATATCGTCCAACATGATCTAGCCTCTCCTCTCTCTTTTTTTAATAAAAAAAGTAATGTTAAAATTAATGTATTTTTCTTAAATTATCAGCTTAACTTCTTCCAAATTGACACGGTTCCACTCTCTAAATTTTACTTTGTACTTTGGATTTGGATTACATTTTGACATGTCTAATAATACTATTTTAATTGGTTCGACTGATCATTTCAAACTTAACCCGTTGAATCAAATCAACAAACATGTCATATATAACTCAATGCACCTCTAATGTTTACTACCATTTAGGCATATTACTAAAAATAGATTGATATTGTCAACTCTAATGTTTACTAACATTTAATTTACTCCATTTGTTGTGGATTATTGGAGACTGAAAACTTAGCATATATAGGGGAAGAATGGAATGATTTACCTCTTGGACAAGATCATCCCAAGCATCTTGAAAATGGGTCCCAAAGAGAAGTCCGGCCCCACCTTGGTCTGTGGGGTCCACAGAAGTCCTTCCTAAGCAGGCTAAGAACATAGAACCCCCTCTCTTCATTTCCTTAGACCTTGATCCAAGGAAATTAGCCAAATCAGTCTGGAATTGTTTTCTGTAAGCATTAGCTGTGCTCTCATTTGCACCATGTATGTATATCTTTCCTTTGTTGTAAGCTGCTGATCTCTTGTCCAACACTATTTCTGGCACCTGTCTCCCCCAATATAATATGAACTTCAATATATTGACCTCACTTCATCAAGTGATTAATCTTAATAAACAATTACAATTTAACTTAAATCTACGAACTTTATAACTTTAAACTTATTCTTAATGATCATGTTATTAATTATAATCATAAAAATGTCATACTCCATCCCAAAAAAAATAATATATTTCTATATTTAGTAACAATTTAACTTAAAGTATTCATTTTATATGATTTATAGTCACACAAATATTTATAACTTATTTTAGACTATAAATTTCAAAAAAAAAAAATTTAATTCTATATACATTCAACTACCCACATAAATTGAGACATGGAGTAATATGTTTAAGGTCACGTTATCTCGGTCAAACTCCACCCCATATAAAATGAAATGGATTAATAGTGATAATTAGAGATGTGGTCCGGGAAATCTGGGGACATGAATATTGAGTGCCTTAATCTTTTTTGACTTTATCAATTAAACCAAACAGTTAGGATTTTCATCATAGAAAACCATTTAACAAAATATATTCCCCTAAACTCTAAATCATCCTCGGGGATTGGGACAAATCACTTTCTTTATCTATTTCTCCATGCTGCATACGTATATTATTAGCTACTATGCATACTACATACAATGACCTTTATTAGGAAATTAAATAATAAAAAATAAAAAAAAAAGAGGAATATATAGTACTGAAAATAACCTGAGAGAGCCAGTGCAAAGAAAATGCAGAATAGAAAACGTCAATGGATCTGGCCGGAAATAGACGCCGGTAAAATGAACCCGGAACTCCGGCGGCAAAGTAAGAGCGGTGGCTATTGGAAGCTAAGCATTCCTCCATACTGCCGCAACCATTATTGGCCAAAGGCGGCAGCAATTGGAACAAAGTGTTGAAGTCATTGGAAGGAAGATCAGAAAAAAATGCAGAGAATTCAGGTGGCTGTTGGCCTAATGCTTCGTAACGCTTGCTCATGTGTTCAACGATGACGTCGATAATGAAAATGGTGTTGCTGCCGCAAGAACAACCTAAGTCGGCAATAACGAACGGAATCTCCGGTGAGCTTAGCTGGACTCCGTCAAGTGTGTCTTTCAAAAGGTGCAGCATTGATCGTGCATGTTGCGCCTGAATTAATTAATATGCCAAACACGAGTTTCAGTTTCATGAAAAGAATTAAAGTTATGTAAAATAACTATAAGTGTAATTTAACATATTATAACAAGAGACAATTAGAGTATATAAATATAATGAACCGACTGCTTCAATAAAACACAATGAAAAATCTTTAAAATTTTAACAAATACTCCTTGTGTTCCATTTATTTTTATTTTTGTATATTATTTCTTTTTTTTAAGTTTGTTTCCAAAAAGAAATGATACATTTTCATGTTAAGAAATAATTTAACTTTACATTTCTTTTTTTATACCTTTAATATCATGACTTTATAACTATAGAAATGTCAATGACTTATTTAAAATCATAAGTTTCAAAGAAGAAATTTTTTTCTTAAATTTTGTGTCCAACTGATCAGGCTCATATGAAATGAAACAACTGGAGTATATATTTAATTTTGAACCCATAATTTCAAATACTAAATTAACTTCTGACTATATCACATTAGTAGAGTACTTTCTTCGGTCAAAATTTACTATATACTATCCGTATATAAAACTTAAACTCATGACTTGAAATAAAGAAAGAAAGGGAGAAAAAAACTCATATTTCTAACAACCTAAAATTACAGCGAGGAAAAAACTCATATTGCTAACAACCTAAAATTACTAGTACTAAAATTTGCTGAAAAAGAAAAACTGCTTGCACTTGAATCGCTCAAACTTCAAAATGTCCATCTAGATCGTACTTAGATCGGCATATGTACGTAGTAAAGATTGAATAGTTTTGTAATACTAGAGAAAATACATAAGAGTGATAAAGACCAAAAAACATGTATAGTAATTGGGAAAGTGGAGGTGACCTGGGCTTGAGAGTTATTAACATAGCTAGCCTCTCCTTTGCCTCCTTTCATGCTAAGCATCCTTTCAAGTTTCAAGTTGGAAACAACAACGTTGTCTTTATTGTCTCCTAAGGGAGCCATTTTGTCTCTAATACCAGAGATGATGTTTGTTAGTGAAAGATAAGTCACAAGGATGTTTGAGAATAAAAATGACAAGAGCTTATGTGGATATATATAGAGGTTTTAGGAAGTGTTGGGTATGTGTTCTAGTAGTTGGGATACATACTCATGAAAGATTCTGAAACATAAAGCTTAAAGTAGAGACAAAATAAATGTGGTGAATTGAATTTGGGAATGAGGTTGGATAGAGGAGCGGGTCAAGGTGGTTATAAAAGCAGTAGTATATTTTTTGAGTTTTAAAGTGAATGGCTATTATACCCCTATAATAATATTTAACGTTTGAATATTTTTTAGCTGTTATAGACAAAAGTTATTCAAAAATTAATTTTTTCCCTTTTTTAATGTTGCATAAAAAAGATAAAAAATTATTCTACTTTAAAATCTCAAAAGATATACATATTTTACTAATTAAATATTAAAAAATCTAACACACTATTAATAAGTTCATAACTAAATCTATAAAGATTTAAATTCTAAGCACACACTATGTAGAAAATTAAATTCTTTCAAGATTGATGGAAGAACTATGGAAAAGATATATGTAGATCTTCAAATCTTAAGTATTATGCCAGATGAAAAATTTATCTAGATGAAAAAATTGTACGTGTAGATCTTCAAATATTAGACATTATTCACGATGGAACCTTTTGTGCAATTGAATAAAAATATACAAGCATATCTTGGACTTAAATCCTTAATTTTGGAAATATGTACTAACATAATATTTTTTATTATAATTGGTGCATTAAAGTTTTTAAAAAATTATTCAAATTAAAATTTTTAGACCTATTATTGGTATTTAGAAACTCTATATGGCTATTATAGAAGTTTCATTTTACAAAGAGCGTACTGCTATAAAGATGGATGTTGCTTTTATAGGTTAAAAATTGTTATAGAGGTAAAATATAACATAAAAATTCGGTTCCGAGAAAAACTTAGTTATTATAGTGAATAATTGTTATATAGGGAAATTGTTATAAAGAGGTCTGACGATATATAACTTAAACTTTTTTTTAAAAAAAATAGAATCTTAAACACATAAAAATTAAATCGTCAATTAGCCTTTAGGTTGAAGAGTTTAGTGGTGGAGCAGAAATGGAAAATAATAGGGCAGATTACAGATACGGACCTCACATGGAAACAGATCACAAAGTAGGTCCAAGATTGACGCCGGATTTCCATAATTTCATTTCTACGCAAATTAGGATAGAAAGTAATTTAAGAGGCTTGAGAGATATTAAGAAGAGTAGAAAATGATGATTTAATTTCGAAAACATACCTGCATTTGGTGTTTTTACCTTTAATTCATTGTTTTAACGTTCAGACCCTAAAATCTTGTTCTAATTTAATGTGTTCGAGTATTATGCTATTCTTGCCACAAGAACAGTGTCCTAAGCTCATTTGGCCACTAATCATCAATAGATATCAATTTAGCAGCTCTAATATATCGCTTCACCCTATATTAACTCTCCTTGAATATTTTCACAAATATATTTACTTTCAAGCTCTCATCTGGCCAACGTCCACTTTGAACACTTGCTCCGTTAGGTATGGCACAAAATAGGATTTAACTTATATACGTGGACTGAGAAAAAAAGGTATTATTGTCAGTATATTTGTACTAATTACATCAAGTTATTTAATATACTTTGTTTCTTAGGTTTCCATATTACACTTTCGATTTATATTATATATACAGACAATATAAAAATATTTATACATAATAAGTGAAATTTAGATTGTGATAACATGTTAGTTACTACTATTTTTATCAAGTTATCAATTGATATTTATCATAAATATATATTATATGATTATTGTATAAGTAACTTGATTGTGTAAAAAATTTATTACACCGTCATTGCGTAGAATTTAAAATCTTATAAACAATTACCTATTGCAAGTCGTTGTGACCCGATGGTCTACAAAGAATTACATGTCAATGCAACAACAACAACAACAACAACAACAAATTCAGTGTAATCTCACAAGTGGGGTCTGAGGAGGGTAGTGTGTACACAGACCTTACTCATACGTTCAAGAAGACAGAGAGGTTGTTTCCGGAAGACCCTCGGCTTAAGAAATTACATGTCAGTGCACAAAAATTAAACTCTACAATATATTACATAAGATCTGGTTTAGGATTTTTGGTTGTTTGGTTGCCTTTAAATTAAAATTGAAACGTATAACAATGCATAGAATCGATCGGATAAGCCGAGTCGCAAACCCTCTACTCGCTATTATATCCTTCGTGAATATCAATTAGATCATGATACATTGTGCTAATTATTGCCACACGGATATTTTAATTATTAAACAGAAACCTAAAAGTAGTTAACAAGAATAAGATATAAAAGTCTCAAAACGAAAGAAAATGGGGACAAAATCTCAAGATTATCTTCGTGAGAATAAAAAATTATCCAAGAGTCCCAAATGGAAGTGTAGTGGCTAGTCTGTACGTGCATGGCATAATCACTTAAAATATTGTGAGTACATGAGTGCACTAGCTTTAAAAGTAATTAGTATACTTAATCAGCTCCACCATCTCGTTAATCTCTGTTTGATAGTAACCGTTTATAGTCAACAGTATGATTAGAAAAAAACAATTAAAAAAGGGCTAACCTAACACAAGAAAAATAGATAAAGGGCTTCTCTAAGCAACTACCTAAGTGCAAAGCATATATACGCAAAACCGACTAAGGCATACTAATAAAAGAGGTTCTAAAACTGGTATCAAAGACAGAATATATAGAACATGTGTCTGTTGTTAGTTGTGTACGTTTATTGTTGCTTTAGACGGGGGCAAATCATTGACTACTAATACTGGTAATTAATAGAGTAATACTTCAACTAGTATGACGACAAGAACCAATGATTCCTAAAAAGACGACTAATTAGTATACTTGTAGACCATTTACTTTGTACACCTAAACTATGATTTGTTAGTACTCCGAATGTGATTCAACTCAAGCTTCTGTTTCTTAATTTATATTAGTATATATTTTTAAAATTGTCATATCTAATATGTATCTTTGTGGCGGGGATTAGCAGGGACGAATGTACGTTATATATATGTTAAGAAATTTACAAATTAGGTACAGATAATTGATTTCAAAACCAATAAATCAAATGAATTGTAATAAAAAATTTGAACTCGAACGTAAAAGTTTAATATCTGTCTCTCTAGGGTAGTAGATTAGCCCTAAGATTTAGCTTTCTTTTCATCAATAGTCCTATTTTATCGTAATTAAGCATTAGTTCTCTTGAAACCAAGCTTCAATTTGTTCCATTCCCACACGCATTAGACATAGAGTTATTATGGAATCTATCGAAGGTGATATGGAAGGATTGTGCATAAATTGAAGCTAAAATGAAAGAATTTAGAGGAGTATGATTTTTTGGCGTCCAGGTTTAATTTGTGCTAGGCACAGTTCAAAACGCAAAAGACTGTACTACACAGAGTTGGGCGCCCAGCTTTGCGCCAAGCGCGATTTAAAACGCAAAAGCGAGAAGCTTTTTCTATTTCGGCTAGGACTTGGTAGTTTCAACCGTACACGCCCCCAACATGTATAAAAGGGGTTCTAAACCTATTTCTTTAGGGAGACATTATTGGAGAGGCAAAGGCTACGGGAACACTTGGAAGCAACGAATCACAAGAGTTTTCTCTTTGTTCTTCTTTAACCTGTATTTTAATGCTTTCAAAACGTAATTGTTAGTATGATTATTATAAACTTTGAAAAGAATGACTTGGATTTTTCGCAAATTAGTTAAATCAAAGATTTCTTTTTTGTTCTTAACTTTAAAGAGAAATTCTTTTGGTTGTTTCAAATCTTAATATTAGCTCGTCTCAATTTTTAAATATTTAATTGTAATTATAATTTTTATCCAATAAGAATTTTACGTTCAGTGTAATAAAAAAATTATTCAGGGTACGTGCATCGCTCGTGTGCCCTATCTCAATGAGCGTTTGAGTTATGAAATACAAGTATATGTTCCTGACAATGATCATTAATATCGATATTATACGTATAACTAACTCAATTAAGAAAAAATGCCTCAGAGAAATCCCCCATCATCAATTAATAATTCAACTTAAAATTTATGTCAATTTTTTAATATATAAAGTTAGCATGCTTCCTTTTCAGTTTCAGTAGTACACATAGTCATTGAAAACATAAATAATGGATAGAACTTCACACATATAGCAAATAACTAATAATCCATGAATTTCAAATGAACACAAAATCAAAGTGCCTGAAAATGAGAAAAGACATTCAAAAAGAATACTAAAGTAAGCTAGTAAAATAAAATTGAAAGGTGGTTATCCATGATATATTTACTCCAGAGAATGACTCAGAATTAGATTTGAAAGTGTATATAGTTTTGATATATCATTATTCAAGTGAAATTAGTATTTAAATAATTCTAATATTGATTAACTCTATTTGTCGTTATATTTGAAAATAATTAGTTATATAACAATTCTAAAATTTATTTTTAAAAGGTAAAATGATCGATACACATTTCGTATTGGAAAACATGTATTTCATCTTAATTTGAAGGGCATATCTTTTGAAAAAATCTTATGAAAATTGTAGTCATTTCTGTAACATGATACTGAAACTAAATGGATTGATTGTTTTTCAGTAATTAAATTTTAATATTTATTATATTATTTTACTATGATTCTTCAAAAGGCCATCAATAAAAATAATTATATATTTTTTTAGAGATTTGAAATAAAAAGTTTTGTCATATAGTTTTTAGAAGAAAATGGTTCACTTGTAAACCTTTTGAGCACATGTATTTTATATTAATTAGAAGGGCATATCCTTTGGGGTAAGCTAACAAAAATTGTAGTCATTTTTGTGACATAATATTCAATCTAACATTATCGAAATCTTTATATATTTTTATTATAATTCTTCAAACAGTCATCAAATTAGCACTAATTAAAAAAATTGTATCTTTCTTTTAGAGCTATTGGAATGAATTACAACCAAAAACTTATTACGTATACAAAAAATTACAGAGAGCCATTTGTTGGAATAGATGAAAAATAAAAATAATAATAAATGTTAACTCATTTTAAATACTTATTGTTTTATTCTTACTTCTTCTAT